TTTATTCAAAAGAGAAATACCATACATCTCATTGTCTTCCCACTGAACCTTGCTTTTAAAGAGGCTCTGTTTGAAATTTTTTCCAGTGCAGCACATAAAGTTTTAGCCAGACAATCTCAAAAAAAAAAAAGTCAAGTGTTGCTGCATCATATGCTTTTGGGTTTTGCACACAGTCCTTGAAACAATATTTATGAAAAATTTCTTACAGTAGATAAGGGAAAAATGTTTAATGCACATGTGAAGTAAACTGGAGATGCTCCTGTAATGGATCAAGCTGGAGGCAGTACACAAATTTTAGAATACTGTATTGTCCACATAATACAGAAGAGTTTGGAGATTACACTTGCAGTCTGAATTCAGTTTGAAGATGATGAGAAATTTTGAAATAACAGAAGGTTGTAAACATTTTTTTTTTTCCAGTGATCATTTTGAGTGTTACACAAATGTGTTCTTCAGAATTGGCTAAATGTTTCTTAATTAATGTGGGCAGACAAGATAGGAAGCTAAAGTTCCCAGCTTGGGGAAACGGAATTAAGGCATATTTCCTTTTTTTTTAATAACCTCTAAAATTTTTACGAGAACATTTCTCTTGCTTGTTCTGGCTGCAGTGCAGGAGAGGTCAACATAACAGGGACATCACAGAATTGTGCCTGTTGGGAGGTCCCCTGAAGAAACGAAGCCTTTCAGTGCAGAAATACCCGTGTCACTCTCTAGATAAATACGGGTGATTCATTCAGCAATCCTCTGGTAGTGTAGTTGCTTGTACTGCGTCACTGAAAGGTTCTGTGGTTGGCCATCACAGGAGATTTGTGAAGGGAAGGTTATCAGAAGTTTGATAGTCTGTACCACTTACAGTAGCAAAGATGGGATACGTAGGAGAATCTTACCTTGTAGTCTGAAGTATAGTTGCAAAACATAATTTTGAAGGCAGTAGCCTTGTGTTTTTAGGTAGAAGGGGCTCTGCATTTGCTAATGAACTTGGACTCCAAATGTTGAGCTTGAAGACTTTGTAAGATACCAGCAACTCTGCTCTCTTCTTGCATTATGATGTGGTATGTGTTTAAAAAAATCATACAGTTGGAATTGGAAGTGTGTCATTAGTGCTCTTGAAGGTGAAAGAAGCAAGAGAATGGAAATAATGCTTTCTTGTCAGCTAAAATATCTACAGTATAGATGATGTGTGTGCAGCTGGGACTGCAGTTTTGGCTTCTGTCAGCAGAGGCAGCTGTCCAGCTGCTGCTGAGTGGCAGGGAGAATGGAGTCTGAAGATGTCATGGCTGGGGCTGAAGAACCACACAGGTTGAAGAAATGACCGAGAAAAATAGAAGTGTCCTTTTGCTCATGACGCCAAGGACATGCTTAAGTATCTGCAAGCTTTTGAGTTAAGAGAGGGAATGGAGGATGGGTAGATCTCTGCAGAATGGGGAAAGTGGATAGAATTGGAGTGGGAAACAGTAAAGAGAGCAAGAAGTATGGAATTGGGGAGCAGAAGTGTGTCCTGAAAGATGGGTGGAGAGAACTAAGAATATGAGACTTGAACAAGTGAAGTACAAGATACTGCACAAACATAAATATTTTTGTTTCATTTTGAGCTGCTTGCGAGGTTCTTGAGATTACGATAATTAAGAAAGTGAACCTTGTGTCTTGGCTGACAATACTTTAAAAAAAACATCCCATGAAGTTTTTGCATACGTCTTGTTCCAGCAGTGCAGCGCTGGAACAATGCTTGCTCTTGCAGGGCGTAGTTGTTTGGCATGCTATGTCCTGTTTGTCAGAAATTGTTAGTGATACCACAGCTGTCCCCATGGTGACAGGAAGTCCAATGCCTTAACTTCATTCTTTGGAATTCCAGATAGGGACCTCCATAATTCCCCCATTAGATTCTCATGACTAGTTCACAGATCCCCTTCTACAGAATCTATATTTCCATGTACAGTTCAGAGATCCTGTGACTAAATCCAAGAACATTTGTATTAAGGTCATTCAGCAAGTTACACAAGTAGAGATGTTTTCCTGGTAGTGTTCTGCCCCTAGCTGTCCCCCACAGGGATGGGAAATTACAGAATCATAATGAAAATAACAGTAAGCATGCATGGTTATCCAGGTATGGTTTGAAGAACAGTATTTCTTTTTCTAGGAGAAAACTTAGGTGCCACAGTTGTCCACCGAAAGGCAGCGGGAGTGCTGAAAAGTGTGTGCAGAAGGAGAGCTGGAAAAGGAACAAGATTGCAGAGCAAGAATAGGCTCAATTACTAATCACTTGTTCTATTCATAATCGTTTTTTGGTTGGAACATCTTGATTTCACTAAAGAGTCTGGTCTTTTTTTATCCAGAACAGATAAAATATTTCTCAGTTGGTTTGGCAACTTTGTTGTGATCTGAGAAGTCAAGGATGGTCTTAATATTGGCTTGTTAAAGAATAGCAAATAACCAACTCCATTTCAAATGAGCCTAAATTTCTTTTTCCCTATGAACTTTAAAAGCTGTTTAAATCCTTCAAACAATGGTGAGCTGATGAATCAGTCTCAACATACAAAGGCTCTTTCTAGACAGCAAGCAAAAGGCTTAATGAATGCAGAGTAAGAAACAAATCCATTGATTTTAATCCCAGAAGGCATTCATCCTTCATTGGAGCTGTTGGGGAAAGAGCTGTGATGCTGGTGAAAGGTTTTTCTGTTGATAGTGGAGAGCCTGTGTTGGTAAATGGTCCCACACAGTGCCTCAGAACTTGGAACCTCTTTGCTGCAGGTCTTCTGCAGAACCTCGAAGTTCTGCCTCAATTTTTTTTTTTTTTTTTTTTTTTGGAATGATGTTTGAGCATTGTGTATCAGAACAGAGAAATATTAAAACTGATTTACAAAACCAGCAGGTGGTAATTCACTTGCTATCCTCTGTAGTTGTGTGGTTCAGCTGACTTGTTTTGTGATGTGGAATGGTGGAATGAAAGCACATTTTGTAGCTAGAGCAGTTTTCCAGTACTACAGCTTGTGGCCACGCTAATATTTTAACTCTTCAGTTATTGTGACTTTTCATACCTGTTACCTTTTCAAAGTTGCAGACCACAGAATACTTTGCATGAGGTAAAGCTCGTGCATGTGTGCTTTGTTCTAAGTTTGAGTGACTGTTCTTTATGAGGATGGAAGTCTTTGAGACAGATTTTGCCGAGATAATCAAATGTGTGGAGAAGAGAGAGACTTTTAAAAACGTGTCTTTACAGATGAAAAGGCTCCTGTTTGTGCAAAACACTTGAATGGAAAGGTACCTTAAAATTGTTAGTGCAAGTCTCAGGTGGGTTTGTAGTCAGGAAACAGAAGCATAGGAAAACTGTGGCTCCAGAAGGAATTTATTTATTTCTTTCAGGCACTGGTTTTTAGACAGAGCTTTTGACTATGGTTTCATATTGCTTGATAAGATGGAAGATAACATTAAAGGAAAAACCTTGTGGAAAGCATTGACATTACTGCAAAAGCTAATTTATATACATTTTTTTTGTCTAAGAAAGTTACTAGCTTACTTACTTCCATTTCCCTAATCTGTAGATAGTTACTTGTTGGCAATATTTTAATTTAAGCTGGTGATGCCATGCTATCCTGTGTTTTAGTATGTTATAGAATTGTGTCCAGGTAAGTTGTACTAACTGCAAACTAAGTTTTATATCTTCTTTTTAAAAGAAGATCTGTTGTGCTAATACTGAATTTATTAAAACCAGCTTCATTGTGGGGCTGCTTCTAATCCTAGGGTTTTTGAGGACCTTATTTTTCTAGTTTCCTATGGAAACAAGGCTCATATGGTGCTGTGTGCGTGGGCCATGTATATCACATGCATATCCAGTCTTCTGGCCTTCTGCCTAGTGTGGACAATTGTGACAGATAGAGATCTTAAGGAAATGGAGGGGTCCAAAAAATACAGATCCAAATGTTACGAAAATAAACAGCTAATAAAGGAGAGGAATTCTAGTCATGAGTTCATGGGGAAAAATGTGCAGTGCATCTCTTAGTAGAAAATAAAGAGGAGGAAAAGCTGTAAAGAACACCCAGGCTTGAGGAGGTTGTTCCTTTGACAAATGATTGTTCCATTTGCACCTTCATGGGCAGCAGCAAATTGAGGTAACTACAAGTTGTGAAAATGCAGGTTCTGGTGTTCCTTATGAGCTATTGTAGGAAATAGAGAAGGAAGTCTTGAAACAATATGCAGGATAGTAAACAGCAAAAGAAGTGTCCTGACTTATTAAAGTAATTTTGTCAAATTGATAATTTCTGTTTGTGTTTTTGTTTCTGTGTTAGTGGATAGTGTTGTCTCATCTGGTTTCTGTTCGTGAATGGGAAATTCCTCAAAACTCCAGTAGTATTTTGCATTTCCTTTTTTTTTTTTCTATTTTGGTTTAGTTTTTGTTTGGGGTTTTTTTTCATTGTTGTGGGTTGAGTTGGTTTCTGTTTTGGTTTAGTTTTTCTAGTTGTGTGTTTTTGGTTTGAGGGGGTTCTTTATTATATTTTTTAATGAGCAAATGAAAAATTAAGCTTTCCTAGTTTAACAAGTAGGTGGAAAAATGGTCTAGTCTGGACCACTGGGGAAAGCAGAATTAGCTTCTCAATTATTTTCTTTAGGGAGTTTGGAAAATGATGTAATGATGTCAGTGGATGAGCTAAGTGGCCAGAAGTAAGCTCTTAACATCTGGGAAACCTTTAAACTATGTCTTTGTTTGGGTTTTGTAGTTGAAAATAGGAAAACACTGGATTTCTAATATTTATTTTCTTCTGTTTTAAGACAAGAATTAAAAAATCTGAATTGCTCTGGTATATGTAAATAAACTTGATCCATTTCAAAGATAGTCTGATAACTTTGTCTTGATAGGAACTTCGAAGAAATTATTAGCTCTTCAACTGAAACTTTGAGATAGCTTTTCAGCATACTTGCATTTCTGTGTTTAAGTTTTTTGCAATATATTCTAAAAAAATCCTCACTGATCTGGTTTATAATATCTAATGCTTTTGTTTCAACAGGTAGCACTACTGGGATTAGATGTTTTAGGTGCCTTTGTTGACAGACTATCAGGACGCTTTAAACCGTATATAGGAACTGGTAAGTGAAATACAACTTTTTTTCCTAAGACCAAGCAGTAAAAGACACTTCCCCCCCCTCTCTTAGCAGCTGAAGTGGAACATGTTGAAAACTTCTTGAGCTAATTATAATGTACTGGCAGGCATTTTACTGTTGTTGGAATTGAGATAATTGTATAGTAGCATGTCAGTATTCATTTGTCACTGATTTCTTAGGTGGTGGTTGGGATTTTTTTAAAGGTTCCAGGAGCGCCTTTCCAGTAATTAGTTCCATGCTATGTAGTTGCTTACCACTCCCTGGGACAGTCCTCTAAAATTTGCAGTGAAACACAAGCATTATCTTTAACTTGTGTTAAAGATGGAAGGTTTTATTTGCAGATCACTTTAATCAGAGCTTTATGTCTGCTGAAGCCTGTAGTCTCAGAGGATGATGTGGTCCACCTCCTGTTAGATAACTTGTCTGTAGCTTTTAGCAGTCTAAAGTTTTTATGGGATAAAAAAAAAGTACTGACTCTTATTCCTGCGTGAAATGTTTACTCAAATGAATTTCAAATTAATGGATCTACATGTGCTGCAGTATGAGACCTTTTTTCTGGGAGGTACAAGCAAACTACAATAATCAACTCATTTTGCTGATGGCCTTGAAAAGAGATGGTGATACTAGGACATTAACATTGGTTTTATAGCACTGGCTGTTTTTGACAGAAGTTTCTAGTGGATGTCCTTTTTCAAAATTTGAGTAAGTTACATCATTTTCCCTGATCCCCAGCTATCTCAAATTGTCTTCAAAATTTTAAGCTTCCTCTTCTTTGCATGTCTAGTTTTGTAATTAAGAGCTTTGAAATAAAATTTCAAAGTTCAGGAATACAAAGTATAATTTATGACAAGCTGCTAACTAAATTAATTGAAAGTGTATTTCAGTATTCTGTGGAGCTACTGCAGTAGAGTGCTACAGCATTTAAATCTGTTGCAGAGAGCTTTTCTTTGGCTGGTTAATTTTGTATTGGAGCAGTGTAAGGGAACTGGAGGCGTATTGTGCTATGCACAGTATTGATTTTTGAATAGTCTCCATTTGTAGCTACAAACACTGTTTTGCTCCAGAGTTTGGCTAAGTTTTGATTTTTATTTTAAGACTCTCTAAAACCTAAAATTACAGTAACATTATTAAAGGAGGGTTGGGAAGCTTATTCGGTTTCTCTCTGTTGTTTTAAGTATGAACTATGTGCGAATAGTTTGAAAATCCTCTTGTTGGTTTGGGCTTTTCTTGTCACAGTAGTTGAGTGAGACCATGTGCAAATTGAACATTTAAATTTCACTAGTATTTATATTAAAAAACAGAAGAGAGAGAGTACTGGCACTGGGTGACCGTTGAACACACATAACATCTGAAGCTATGTATTCTCAAAGTATTTTTCCGTTAAGCTAAGTAGTAGTGCTTTCAGCTGAAACTGATCCTCAGAGCATCTCCAGAACGAAGACCTCTAGAATATGCAAGTTATTGTTGTTGATGATCAACTTCTGTGTAAACAAACCTAACAGTCGCTGAAATCTTAGTGAAGGCAGAAAACAGTATTTTAGGTGACTTTTAAAAAGAGTGATATGAATTCTCCTCAGGTGGTAGCTCTCTCTCCAAGTTTCATAACAAGATCAGAGTATTCAGTTTTTGTCAGTGAAGCAGTAATATAAAAACATTATTATTAACATTAAGTGTCTGGGGTTTGTGTAGTCCAGGGCTTATGAGAATAATTAAAAGCACATTTGTGAACCAGAGAACTGCTTCCTTCAAGAAAATTTCAAGAACCAGGAGTTTCCTAAATCATGTTCTGTTGACTCTGCAGATTTGTCTTCTAATGTAATCTGACTCCAGTAAGTCAGACCAAAGACTTGTATTTGACAGTGATTTGTTTGCAGATGCCTGAGAAGAAAGTAAGAGACACAGGCAGTGATAACTCCTTCATCAACAGGAGTTGTCAGCAGTCTTACAGGTTAGGGCCAGCTGAGGCACATGGTATCTTCAGTGTCTGCCCTGTCACTGTGTTTTCCTACAGCTTTATCTGTTTCGTTTCTGACCCACGTAGATCTTTGGCTTTTGCAGAGTTCTGTAGAACTACTTAAGTATGCAAAACTTGTTTGGACTGATTGCCTGAAAAACTTAGTGCTTGCTAGATCTTGTGTTAGAGAGGTGAGCCAACATTTCTTACCTTCCTGACTGCCAGTTTCTATTTATGGATCTCTTCCATGCCTGTCCTCTACTATCCCTTCCTCTGCCCCAGCTCAGAGACACAGAGGAGCTGTTTCTTGTATACAACTGTTTGCCCTTTCAGTTCCTTTCTCTTGTGGTGCATTTGAGTTGAGGAAGCCATATCTGTCACACCATACCAGAGAGGCGGCATATATTCACAGTGCCGTAATTGTATTTGTTTTCATTTGTCGTCTATTACTTTTGCAATTATTGGTTATAGATTCCTTGGTTGCATAGCTGCTTCCTGAAAATTGACCTAATACATGCATGAGACTGTCTACTACAGCAGCCTGTTTCCTGTGCAGTGGTGGTGGATTCGGGGCCCACTCTCCAGGGCAGTGTCTTTGCTCCATGCCTTTATCCTTAGGGCAAGACCCCTTCTTGAGAGCTGTGTGAAAGTCCAAATGCACTCTGTTAGCTGAGTTACCTTCTGCAGAGGTGTTTGCAGAGAGCTCTTACAGCCTTGTGAGGTACCACTTCATTTTTTTATTTGACTTTTTATTTTTATTCCCAGATTGCTTCTCCAGCCTGTAGCACTACATTGGGTGGCTGTGACCCAGATAGGGCACCCAGTATTTGGCCTCCTTGTTGAACCTCATACAATCCATATCCATATATGGATCCATATATCCATACAATCTATATCCATAGTTATGCATTCGACAAGAAGCAAGTATTCTATCAGACTGCCATTTTAGTTTTGTTTATTTGTTTGTTTGTTTGTTTTTGTTTGTTTTGTTTTTGGTTTTTTTTCTTTTTTTTTTAGCTTGGTTATGTCCAGTTAAGTGATTCTTTGATCTGAATATTGTTAATGAGATATATAATCGTGTACTGCAGATGTGCAGTGGTTTAGGTGATATAAGGAGAAAACAAAAATCATGGAATCAAGATTGAAGATGCTGGGAAATTTGTAAGCAAAGTAGTTCAGCTAAGTAACAAGTTCTTCGGGCCCCACAGACCATCTTAGTAGTAATTTATATGGTAGGCTTTTACTTTCTCTATTTTGGTCAAATAAATGCAAGTATATTATCTTTTGACAGCAAACATAACAGAATTTTTGCAGGGAATTCAATTATTACTTTGGAATATTCAATCTATAGTTAACTTCTCATTTATTGCAGTAAGCTGTTGTAGGTAGGTGCATTCTCAAAAAAAAGAATAGGAATTGCACCATGACTATATCAAAGGAGGATAGATGTAAAATACCTACCTGCTTTGTTCTCTGCCTTTTTTTAAGTACAATGCATCCTTTTTTTTTTTTTTTTTGTGAAGTTTCATTTTTATAGCTGTTTTCACTTACAACATACCTGCAACCTTAAATGTATTTTTCTTTTAATAAATAGTGTTACATTTTGGTGACCCTGAGATGTTTTTATACTTGATTCAGATCTCAGTAAATGATGGAAGTATAATAATATATTATCTAACTGCAATATGAGAAAACACATTCCACCTTTTACACCCCATGCCAATTTAATTTCCTGTTCTGTTTTGATGGGGGTGGAGGATTTCCTTAAGTGCAGAGGACAGCTAATGTCACTGAATATTCACTCTCTTAAACATTAGTCTTCTGCTATGAAGTGAAAAACATCAATGCTTTACTATTACTTCATTCTTTGTAACCTACATATATGCTGTAAATTACATTTGGGCAAAATCAATACCACAGAGGTAGGGCAGATACCTTCCAGTATTTCAAAGAGCATGTTAGTGATCTTTGTATTGAAGTATAATGCCTGATAAGAGACTTAATTCAGTTTCCTAGGCAACCATCTAATGTTGCACTAAATTTCTTATAAGGTGTTATCCTTTTGTGATTAACCACATTGAGCATGCTCTGCAGCTGGCATCAGTGTTCTGGAAGTCTAGACACACAAATTTGGAATCTTTCTTTTAGTACTTCCACTTAAGATCCTTGAAAATACTTTGGAAGTGATAAATACCAGGGTATGTGTTCTTTCATAAGACTGTGTGTCTGTATTCTGGGAAAAATAAAGCAGTGTTTGAGTGTTACATCTTTTGGTATTTAAAACTACTGCTTGTTCTGTGATTAAAAGAGATGTTACATAAGAGTACATAATTACTGTATCACAGTCTCTTTTCCCAGGTGATCATATTAATTATTAAAATAATCACATATATCCAAAATAAAAGAGACTATTAGAATTATGGGCATATGTGTCTGGATGATAGGATTTCTGGGAAAAGTGTCTACTCATACTTTTAGTTCTGTTTTCTAAAACAAGTGAATATGACTTGGCCCTCTTCTTATTGTCAAAAGGAAAAGAAAGAACACAGTAAAGGTGTACAGAATCTGTTTCAGTTTTACTGTGCAGTATTATACATGACATATTTTTCTGCATATATTGAACAGTCCATTAGTCTGTTACATAACTATATTGACATTAGGCTTTACATACAACCATACAAAATGTTGCAAAATACTGTACTTACCTGAAAATTAAAGAAACAGTAATTGACAGTTAAAATTGACAGGCAAAACACAGATAGGTTATGTTTGTATATGTACCTGTATGTATAAGTCTCAGTCGGGATACACATTTTACACACAAGAACTCCTTATGTAAATGTGTTGATATGTTTAGTAGTAGTTTCAAATTCATCTTACTATGAAAAGAAACCACTGGGCAAAAATAGTTTTGGAAGATAGTTGTAGTGCCATATATTAACATGTGAAACAAATTTGAAGTGTTTAAATTTTTTACCAGGTAGCTTCAAGGAGCGTTGGAAGAGCATTTAAATTAGTGTCCTCAGACTAA